GTCTGCTGGGCTTTCCGAAGTGCTTGATTTGAAGGAATCAGTAAAAACACTGTGGAGGGACTTGAATCCTTCCCCGTCGTGGTTGGGGGTGAGCTTGGTGGTGGTTTGTGAGAGTGGCTGTGCTGTTGTAGCTCAGACTGGCGGATGCCGTGGCTTTTGGTGGGTGTTGTCACAAGTCGCCTTGCACACGTAAGGGGTGAAGCTGGGGCTTACATCTGAGTGCAGCCTGAAAGTAAAAAAGCTTGGAAGGAGCAGGCGAGACCCCAAAGGAGCTGGAGGTGTTTGGGGACCCAGCTGGACACTCGGAGCAAGAGGTAGAGAGGAATGGAGGAGTACAGGGTAGATGTGAGGAATTGGCATTATAGGGGTGGGGAGGTTAAAATAATAAAGTCTGATATTTATTTCTAGCCAATCCTGTTTGGAAACACACTGTTTGACCCACAGTAAATTTACAACCCCCTGCTCTGTGCCTGTGGCGTGGACAAACCCCTCCATGTGTTCTTGGTGCCTTTTCGGTGTTGGGATGTCCTGGTGAGTTTGAGCCTCCGCTGCAACTCCTGTTGGCTTCCAGGTAGTAAACAAAAGCTGTTACCTCGCAGGAGCGAGCGTGGGGAGCAGAGTTCAGCTCTGATTTACTGGAGTGCAGAGGGTCATCCGAGTTCAGCCGTATTTTTAGCTCTCTTGGGTTTCTTTCTTTTTTTTTTCCCTTTCTGTTTTGATCCGACTGTTGAGGCAGCAGCGTTCTCCTCCAGCAGACACAGGCAGGTTGCAGGTTCCTTGTGGCGACTCGGAGCGAGCAGAGCACTGCGAGGTCTCCTCTTCACAGCAGCACAAGGGTTTATTTGTTGATGTGAAGGATTACTGTATGTTAATAGGTAGGTTGAGGCTCGGAGTTGGGCTTCCATGTGGTAAACTTTGTGTCTTTGGGAACACGTGTGGGTTTAGTACTTCATACGTCGTGAAATGAAATGTTATCTGTGTAACTGAGGCAAAGAACTGTGTGAGAGGGAACTGTGCATTTGGGGAAAGGAAAAGAAAAATACAGGGGGAAGAAGGGATTTAAAAAATACATACATTTCTTGAAGGGAAGTGAAGCTGGAGAGTGATGGACATGAAGAACAGAAATGTTTTGATGGGAGTTTCATTGTGTTATGTGCTGAATAGGAAATTAATGGGAGCTGCTGTAAGACAAGACAGAGCTTTGAGAAAATTCCTCAACTCAGTGGCTTCAAGAAGGTAAATTCCCCTTGTAGAAGTAAGTTGGGATAATTCTGTGGCTGTGGGAGTGGTGAGTGTTCAGTTGAACCTGGTTTCAGGCAGGAATTGTGCTCAGAAGTTGTCAGCATAGATGCTGTGACCCTTGTCTGGGGGGATGAGAAGGGTGTAACTGAAATGACCCACAGAGGGATATCACCAACAATAAATCCCACCTGCCCACCTCTGCTTTGGCTTTTGGACACCTCTGAGGAAGAAGTTCCAGATGGAGTTGATTGTTCTGTAGTGAGATTTGTTCCATAAAAATGTCAAGGAAGGTCCCTCTGTATTCTTCACTTGGTGCTGCTTGTGACACGTGTGAAACCACACCGTGTTTCTTTACTCTCCCTCACACTTTCGCTTTAAAGGATTTGTGTGTGTTGCATTAAGCTCGCTCTTTACAAAGTCCCCACATTGGAAATGAATTCTCTGGGTTGGTATAATCAGGTCACTGGTTTCCTCGCAGCCCTGGCCTGGATGTGGGCAAACATTGGGCTGTGAAGGACAAACTGGTGGACAGGGGTGAGCTCCATGTCTCCTGGCCCTGCAGGGTTAATTTAATGCTCGACCTGGGAGCCAAGTTGGAGCCATCATGGGCTCTGGGCTGGTGTCAGTAGGTTTTTGTTTCCTTTTCCAAACTTCCTTATGTTTGGAGAGAGTTCAGCTTCCTGGCTGTTGATGGGCTCTGTGCAGGGACCAGTAAACTTGACCTTAATCTATCGCTGTGGCTGTTTCAGTGTGGGATTGGGTATCTCTGGACATGCGTGTTTTTCTGGTTACTGCAGCGAGGTGATTGTGGCAGTTTCAGGGTGGGTTTTAACAGAAAGTCATTGAAAATCCTTCTTCCTCCAATTTAATTCCATTGCTGAGAAGTGGAGAGGAAGGGTCAGTGTTTGGAGGGGGGGTTCTGTGTGAGGTGTATTGTTGCTGTGCATTGAACGTGGGGTTTGCTGATGTTGCCTCAGGACTTGAGTGTTGCCTTTAATTCTTCTGGGTTTGTTTTAGCTAACTGTGCTGTAGTCCCTTTCTGAAAGCAGTGTGCTGCTTCCTGCTCTGATGAGTGGCATCTTCCGGATGCAGGCAGCTTCCCAAAGCCTGGGATAAGTGCAAGAGATACAGGATCACTTCTGGGAATGCAAGAGACTGTGTGTGAAGTCAGGATGAGTTTCTGGCCGCACTTACCTGGTGTACGGGGCAGGCCAGGTTGTGTTGTTGGAGCAGGCACGTGTTGATGATCTTCTGGTTAAATTAAGACTGCTGAGGAGGATTTGGGTACGTGGGGTTTTCTGTCTTCTCTTAGTAGAGCACAGAGTTGAGCTGGAGGGGAAGCGGCTAAGGATTTCTCCAAGGAGAGCATCTTCAGCACGCACTAAAGGATCAGGGTCTCTGGGTTGCTGTGGTACCCCCAGTGCCATCTTCCCTCCCTGCTTACTTCCATTGCAAGTGCCTCTTTCTGGAGCGTGTGATGCACCATCTCTGCTGCCTGGAGTTTAGCTGGTGAAGATGGGTTTGAAGATGAAGACTCAGGGGTCAGAAAGCTGCTTGAGCATTAAAGTCAGGTTGAAGAGCACGCTGGTGGCTTTTGTGTGAAGCGCTGGGCCCCCCTGCGCCTCAGGTGGATCTGCTCCGGCTTCTGGGCAGCTTTGACATTGAACTGGAGCTAAAACGAGGGCATGGTTGGAAGTCCTCTTCCAGATGCCAGTGGCAGCTGCTCTCCAGGAAGGGTGTTTGGAGCCTTCTGGTCAAGAAAGGGAAGGAGTGGCGAGAGGTGGGCAGGAAGGGAGGAGCGGGGCTGAGATCAGAGGTGTTCTTGCTCTCTGCTTTTCTGAGTTCAGGAGTGAGCTTTCTGAAAGCACGGCTGGACGAAGGGGAGGAAGAGCAGCGGTGTTGCCCGAGAAGTGTTTCCATTTGGGACTGTCTGAAGCTTTGGAGATTGTACAACTTGGGAGGGAATGCAGCAGGAGGGAAGCTTTGAAAACATGGAGGCTTTCCCTGTGGTAGCAGCTCTTCTGCAGGGGAGGAACAGGAACGGGTTTGTGAGGGTATTGCCAAAAAAATTAAGTGCTTTTAGACCTCTCTGCCATCTCCCCTGTTGATGTTCCCCAGCCTTGGCACATCTTAGCGTTCTCTCCAGCAGAAATAGCTTTAACTTATTTAATGACAAAAGCTAATCATGTTATAGCGCAGATATGTCACTTTACCGGCTTTGGGAGACTTGGAGAGAGTGATTCTTCCAGCAGTGTGATTTCATACAGCTGATTTTCCCCTCATCTGAGGACATGATTGTGTGGCTTCTCTTGCAGAAGCCTGCAGGAGAAGGTTACTTCAGCCATTTCAATATATACGTATTTAATGTGCAGTGCTGATTTTGGAACCCAGTCTGTGTTTTTAGCTATGCTGAGAAGTCGGTGAGAGAGTAATAGGAGACTTGGAACAGATAACTTCCCTCTCAGATGTTGGGATGTAGCAGGATTTTCAGCTCTGTGTGTGGGTTTCTCCGTCACCTGAGGGCTGAAAGGCTTTTCCATGTTCTTAGCAAACACTGGGATGTGTGGAGCTGGTGCATTTCCTCTGTTTTTGTTTCAGTAAGTTAGTGAAGCGCTCTCTTCAGCGGTCGTAAGTAACCTGTATTTTCTTTCTCTCCCTAAGCCAGCAGTTTCAGGGCTGGTTAAGTGTCAAGTTCAGTTGTGTGTAAATCCGCTGATATGATTAGAGTTGCTGGAATTTTTACTCTGGGGAATTCCAGATGGGCAGTAGCACGGTTGTTCAGGCGTTCTTCAGGAGGAAACTTCATCTGTGTCTGCTGGCAAAGGCTCTTCTGGAATGAGTGGGGAACAGCAAAGCAGTGTTTGTTACGGGGCATGGAGATGTGGGTGCAAGAGCTGTGCACCCTGGGGTCTGGAGGAGCTAGGGGAACTCATTCCTCTTTCTTTGTTCTAAGGGAACAGCGCTATGAGAAGTCACAGCAACTGTGTTTTACACTGGGTGGCAATTTGAAGAGCTTCTCCTTTCCAAACTCCACTTGGTTTTGCCTCTCAGATAGGAGATGATGATGTGGAACAGCTGGAAGAAGAAAATAGAATGTGTTCTTAAAAAAGGAAAGGATCAAAGGGAGAGAGCAAAATGAACTTTTAGGCTAGTGAAATTTTCTGGTACATGTTATTCTTATGTTTTATTATATACGTTTGGAAGGTGTCCCAGAACACACGCTTCCTTCTCGTAGTAGGTGATGGCACGCTGTTGCTGATGGGACTTGAGTCAAATTGCTGCTGGGCACGTAACTGGGTTAATGGGACAGCGTTTTTCCTTCTTTCCTGAAAGGAAAACAATATACTGTGTATTCAGATTGTACCTAAGAATTGTTTGTACCTTTATGTGCTGTGCAGTCATATGAGGGGGAGAGGAAAGGCCAAGTTTCCCCACACCAAGATTGTATCAGGTTTAAAGCAATTCTGCTACCACAAATAATACGTTTCTCTTGTGTGTCCTTTATCTGGTTGAGAGTGAAACTATTTCTAGAGCCTGAAATATACCTGGAAAAAAGGCAGAGTGGCTTCTATAATGTGCATCTTGAAAGGAAGCATATCCAGTCCTCGACTGATACCTGTAGCCTTCTCCAAAGCTGTCAGTGAAGGGTTGAAATGGGTCAGGACTTGTCGAGATGTGTGGAGCAGCTGCTCTTTCCAAGTGGTTGAGCTCAGCAGGAATGAGACTCTTGTGCTCTGCATGGGAATAACTCAGTCAAAGTCACAAACACAAACCCCAGCCCTGCTCTCACCCTGTCACTGGGGGAATGGGCTGCCCATGGTACGGCCTCAGGGTGGTGGGCAACGAAATCATGCTGCCAGGCTTTGAGTTTGCTCTTGATGCTGTGAAAACACCGAGCCAGGAAGAGTTAATGCAGTTAAAGATCTTAAATAACACAGATTGTCCTGGGTTTGGAAAGCTTTTGGGAGGTGGAAGCTAATAAACATTGCATCAATTCTCTCTTTTGGGTTGGGATGGTGATTGTGTGTTTGTGTTTCGGTGTGATGTGAGGGTGACTGTGTGGAGTTACTGAATTAATAGGAGTAGTCAGATTTAAATGTCGGCCCTGCTGGTGGCATTTGGAAATCCATTTGAACTAAAGCTATGGCTGCGATAATGGTGGTCTGAAAAAGAGATTTCCCTCTTTTATGCCTTATTAAGAAGTCGTAGAAGTCACTGGGCCTTGAAACCAGCATTTTTCTGGGCTTATTTTGCTCAGCAGTGACAGAAGTCTTCAGTCTTTTCAGACTAAGCCAGAGACTCTTCCTACAGGTATCAAAGGGAAAGATTTTTTTAGTGATACTACTTGCAGCTTTGTTTTTTGAGTCAGCCACTGTCTTTGAAAGGCTCCCAGCATCCCGAGGAAAGGCCTTCTCTGTAGGAAATGTGCATTTCCACTCTGCGGCGAGATTTGTCCTTCTGTCCTTGGGCTGCCAGGAGATTTTCGGCAGATCTGTCAAGTCTGATGTGAAATTCAGAATGGAATCTGGTCTGAAGTCTTGAATTCATGTTTGCGGTGATGAAGATGCTGTAGGCTTGACACTGGGCACTTTATTTTGCAGCGTGCAGCTGACGAATTGGACGGGCTCAATAACTATGGTACATCTGAAAAGGAAGCTGGCAGGGTGCTATAGCAGAGGGTATGTAACCTCTACTGCTCATTGAGGGCAAGTCAAGAAATCAAAATGCATTTAAAGCATCTTTGTTGTGACTTCTAAGGTGAAGTTCATGGTGCATCTCGCACACTGGAGCGCGCTAGGAAGGGGGTTTCAGCAGTTGTGATTCATGCCCAACTTCAGCATGGAAACGCTCTTGTGGATGTACTTGAGCCATTGAGACATCTTTGAGCTCAGCTTGGGGTAGAATGCAAAGTTTGTGTGGCCCTTTCTCTCCACTGCTTACACATGTACAAATGCTGGTTACTGGACAGGCTCTCTTTGAATAGTTCATTTTTATGGGCTCTGTGTTTTGTATTGGAGGTTTGTGAAGTAATTCAGCTGTCAACCTGTCTGACTTGGGTTTTCTGTTTTCCTTCAGCATTATTGTGTTTTACAGTGTATTTCAAAGTGCTTTTATGGCTGTCTCTTCAAAAGAAACCAGATCTAATTTTTGTGGATATGCAAATATAGCAAAGTGTGATTTTTGATGAGCTGAAGCTGTTCAGCTTAATTGTATTGATCACATTCCAAACCACTTTATAAATTGAAACAAAAGTTCATCTGCACAATAAATTGTGTTTAAATAACTGGTGCTGAGCTTGTGCACTAAGTTGAAATTGGAATATTCCTATTCCCCCCCTCCAAAACTTAGGTTTCTATTGCAGTGTCTGTGCAGCAGTACCTGGTGTTGCCGGCATGCACCCAACCAATTGTTGCTGCACTTGGCACAGTCCCCTCGCTGCTCGCTGAAGCCAAAGCTCACTTTATCCACTCAGGCTGACATTAAGATCATTAAATAAATGAATGAATTGTCCTGTCACCAAATTCCCTACCTGGCAGCTGAAGAACATGTGAGTTTTATAGCCTGGACCTGTTTCCAGAATGGCTTGTTGAATGGCCTCGATGTCAGTAGTGGGGACAGTCGGCAGAGAGCTTTCTAGTGAGATGTGAGTGCCTTGCTGAGAGTTATGGTGTGGAGTGGTTCAAAAGCCTGAATGACCAGACAGCTGATCATCCCAGAGGAGCATTAATTAACCTGTGGAGGGTGTGTAGAAAGAACCTGGAGCACAGCAATAAAACAAGAGAGCAGGAGAGCACCGAGGAGGGTGGAGAGCTGCTTCTCCGTTGGCAGTGCAGGTCAGCCTTGCTGTTTGGAAGGAGTTTGTCAGGGGAAGAACGCAGCCAAGCTGGGACGTGTTGAAAGCAGCGATAACTCTTGGTCTCCATCAGGGAGTTTGCGGTCTTGCTGGTTGAGCTAAAAGGTCACTCAGGGTTTGGAAGCTCTTGGAGAAGTCTGCTGAACTTCCACCTCCAGGAGGAGAAGGTTGAAAATACTTCCTCAACAGAGGAGAGTTCACTCGTCAGGCTTGGACTGATTTTCCTTGTGGTCTAGCTCTGTCCTTGGGTTTATGATGTTGCTGTTAAGGTGGTGGTTTTGCTTAGGAACGAGGGACGTAAAAGATCTCGGGCATCAGCACTTGCAGCGCGTGGGTCAGAAATGTCTCTGAATTGCAAAGGAAAAAGAGGAAGTGTATTGGGGCCAGCCTGTTGGTGGCCTGGAGAACTGTGTATGTGCAGGCTGCTTGTGCTGCAGCTCCCGGTAGCGTCAGGAATGCCCTGCAACAGGAATGTAAAATATGTGACGTGGTTCATTCCTGTTCTGAAGTGTAGCAAAATGTCAGCATTCGAGACTGTATCGAGTGCTCTCAAACTGGAGCAAATCCTTTTCTTGGTCTTCTGTTTTGCCTCTTCCCCATACGTTAGTGTTTGTCTTCATGATAGTTTGATAAAAGGCTGTAAACCAGCACTTGTAAAACAGGCAACAACCTGCCCTTGAACACTGCCAGGGATGGGGCAGCCACAGCTTAACTGGGCACCCTGTGCCAGCGCCTCAGCACCCTCCCAGGGAAGAGCTTCTGCCTAAGAGCTCATCCCAGTCTCCCCTCTGGCAGGTTAAAGCCATTCCCCTTGGCCTGTCCTTACATCCCTTGTCCAAAGCCCCTCTCCAGGTTTCCTGCAGCCCCTTCAGGCACTGGAGCTGCTCTCAGGTCTCCCCTTCAGGAGCCTTCTCTTCTCCAGGCTGCCCCAGCCCAGCTCTCTCAGCCTGGCTCCAGAGCAGAGCTGCTCCAGCCCTCGCAGCATCTCCATGGCCTCCTCTGGCCTCGCTCCAGCAGCTCCACGTCCCTCTTGTGCTGCTGCCCCAGAGCTGGATCAGGGCTGCAGGGGGGGTCTCCCCAGAGCACAGCAGAGGGGCAGGATCCCCTCCCTGAGCTGCTGCTCACGCTCTGGGGGTGCAGCCCAGTGCACGGGGGGGGGGTTCTGGGCTCAAGTGCTCACTGAAGCTGGATCGTGGGGAGCTTCTCCTCAACCCGTGTAGGGCATCTCCATCTTCCTGCCTCACACCTACGGGCTCATTCAGCTGTGTAGCGTTGCTTCAGAGGCCACTTTGCACTGTAAAGAGAGATGAGTGCTTGGAAGTCTTCCTCGTTGGCCACGTGCAGCAGATTCAGCTTTCCCTCTGTGTTCTACATCTGTGCTTGTGGCCTGAATTCAACAGGCAGGGCTAACAGAATTCAACCCAGGATTTCTCTTAAGTGAAGGACACTGAGACTCATTTACTGCTCATCTTCAGACTCTACTGGGATAAATATATTGTTTATTACTTTCTCTTGAAGCACCCTGTAGAGGTGTGTGTAAGGATGCGATCGAGAGTCCTTAGGAGGAAAAATAGAATGTGTGGAGGATTGGACGAAGGAGACACTGAGCTCCCATCCAGCCTGTATTCTTCATAGCAGCCTTCCTGTATCTGAAGGGGGGCTATAGGGATGCTGGGGAGGGACTCTTCATTAGGGACTGTAGTGACAGGACAAGGGGTAACGGGTTAAAACTTAACCAGGGGAAATTTAGATTGGATGTGAGGAAGAAGTTCTTTACTGTAAGGGTGGTGAGGCACTGGAATGGGTTGCCCAGGGAGGCTGTGAATGCTCCATCCCTGGTGGTGTTCAAGGCCAGGTTCGATGAAGCCTTGGGTGATATGGTTTAGTGTGAGGTGTCCCTGCCCATGGCAGGGGGATTGGAACTGGATGATCTTAAGGTCCTTTCCAACCCGAACTGCTCTATGATTCTTTAAGTATGGTTTTGTGCAGCAGTGTAAGGTGCATTGCATTGTCTTCCCAAGCTGCCTGCTTCCTCAGGCTTCCTGTTTGTATGACACAGGATTTTAGCTTGGATAAAGTCATATGAGCTCTGCATGTGGCAAGAGAGTACTTAGGATTTCATTTCATTTCGATAAACCGCTGAAATAAAAGTCATGGACGAGGGAGAATCACGAGGCCTTACAGGACTGGGAGTCAAGATGAGCATTAACACTCTTGAGAAGCAAACTGCTGGAGTTTATTGTTCAGCAGAGGGCAGGACCATGGGTCTGGGTGACAGCGCTGCTGTCTCTGTGATGCTTCCTGACAGATTGACCAGCAGAGCATCACGTTTTCCCATGAAGTCACAGCATGAAGTACTAAAGACACGGTAGGGAATGTGGCAGAGTGGATGAGATGGTACTGGGCTGTTTGATATTCCTGCTTGTCATACGGAGAGAAAGCCTGCCTTGGAAATACATGGTCAGTGCTGGAGGGTCCTGATCCTCCTATAGAGGAGAGGTGTGTGTGGGTTGTAGCTCTGTAGTAACTTATTTGTGGGGTTAAGGTACAGAGGTTGAGGTAAGTTAATGGCATGCATGGGAAGATGAAAAGAATAAGCTGCCTTTTAGGACATTACAGCCATTTAGACTCTTGGGTTATTATCACCACCACCAGGCCTGCAGTACTTGTGTCTGTATCAGGAACTTTGTTTTCCAGATACAGGTAATTGCTGGTGGTAAAGGGAAGCTGGAGACATGAAGTTTGACTTTCTGGATGCAGTCTGAGGGAAGGTGGACTGTAACCCCCACAGGGAGTTTGTTCCAGGCTGTAGCTGAATAAAGGCTGAATAGAAGCTTGGTTACTTATCTCTGTGATGAGACAGATTCCTCCTGGTTTACTCTCTTCCGTGTGTTGTTTTAGTTGTGTCATCTGTCCCTCTGTGCTTTGTCTGTTCAGACTTCAATGTTCTTAACTGGTTTTGTGTTTGCAGGATATAGTCAGTGTGGAAGTGACTGTGTGTGTGTTAAGTAACTGCTCTGAAGGAATAAAACTCCAAAGCCACAAAGCAAACAACCCCAATCTTCTCTTGGCGAGGCTTTAGAAATGGAGAGATTGCTGTGCTGGTAGGGTCAGTGCCCAGCTCAACCCCTCACACCCAGACCCCAATGCCTGTTTATTGGGTTACCTGGAAGCAAACAGTGGTGAAGCAGGTCAGTGCCACTCAGTGAGCACGCAGGCAGCCTTCACCAGGCCAGAAACTGCTCTTTCAGCCGCTGATCAGGGGACAGAAGTGTGCAAATTTGGGGCTGTTTGTTGTCTTTGAAGTGGGATTCAGTTTGTGAGTTTTGAGTGTGGTGGTGTGAATTGTCTTAAGCTCAGTATTTGAAATACAGAGGATTTGACAATAACCCCACCAGCAGTTGTGTTGCAGAATGTGAAGGGTGGAAGGTGTTCATGGCTGTAGCTCTGCTCTCTTCTTGACTTTATTAAATACTTTAATAATAAATTAATTATTAATTTGTTATTACTTTATAATTCCTTAATTAAATTTTACAGTAATTAAATACTTTAATAATACTTTATTAAAACTACTATTTTTTCTGCCAGACTAGGTGTTCACAGGCATCTGATGCAGCCAGAGGCCTGGAGGACAGCTGAGGAGCCATACCTATTACTTCTGGACTATACCAGAAGCCAAAGTAATTCCAGAAAGGAGTGGGCTGGTGCGTGTCACTGAGCTATGGCCAAGATCAAAACCTGGTTCTCCCGTGGCATCTCCTCCCAGTTGCTCCTAGTGGTCCCTGTGGAGCTGGCTGGCTTGCAGCCTTGCTTTGTGTGTTCTCACAGCGTTTAACAAGCCATTTGCTTAGTCCTGATCTTGGGTAGCTGCTATTCAGGGAACCCTACTGCTGTCACTTATTTTCCCCCTTCAAAAAGCGATGATGGAGAACAGCAATTGTCATACGTTCGGCTCAGCCATTGCCATGTGTCAGGTTTGCCTGTATCACCCCGGCTCTTCCTCAGCCACTGCTTGGGACTGTTGTGGGTGTGATGTTTCTTCTTGAGTGCTTATATCCTATAGAGATTCCTGCATTCCCTCCCCTTTCCATCTTCCTTTCCTGAACAGTGTAGTTCATTCTCTCTGAAGTCTCCTCCATGTTCGCTGGGAGTGATGTTTCCAGCCTGGCTTTTGAGGCCAGGTTGAACACAGGGGCTTGGAGCAAGCTGCTGTAGTGGAAGGTGTCCCTGTCCGTGGTAGGGGGTTGGGACTGGATGAGCTTTAAGGTCCCTTCAACCCAAACCACTCTGTTATTCTATGCCCACCTCTGGCCTGGGATGAGCAGCTTCCCTCTTCCTTGGTGATGTTTGCAGTGAGTTTGCTCTGTGGCCTTGCTTGATAAAGTGACCCAGGAATTTTTCCCTTCTCCTAACCCTTCCATTCACTTCCACCTTTAAATGTTTTAAACAAGGCTCTTGGGGTGGGTTTTGAAGTGACACACGGGGGGGGTGTGGTTGGCTCTGAGCACCCTGGTTATCAGCTGGGACAGAAACTGCAGCAAGCAGCAGCTGGAGCCGCTTTTTGGCAGCGTCTTTGCATTCGTCCTCTCTGGAGGGGGTTTGCAGCGTGCATTCACCTCCAGTGCATGTGCTGGGGGTTAGGAGTCAGCATTCCGTTGCCCTGCTGGCTGTTCCTTACCTAAGTATGTGTTCTAACACTTACCAGCTGCTTGGTAGCCAGAGGCTGGTCTAAAAGAGCTTCTGTCGAGTAAAGCAGTGTTAAGGTATCTCTCTCTTTAAGGTAACGGATGTTTTTTCCCTTCTGTTGTAGTTAAATGCAGAAATAAATGCAGTTAAAAGTATCCAAAGGACTTTTTTCTTGCTGCACTGCGCTGAGAAAAGCCTTGGTTAAGATGCTTTCTTCCCTCTGAGCTTGCTTTGCTTTTAGATGCTAAAGGGCATTTTGAGACTGTGTTTTACCTTCAGTTTACGTCATGTTTGTATGAAACAGACCAAAAAAAAAATCCGGTGCTTTGCCAAATATTTTTGGAGAGAACAAGCTTTGTGGATAATCATTTTCATGTTTTACCTGCTCCTCGGTGTGTTAAGGCTTTACCCTGAAAACAGCCTTTGAGAGATGAGCCTTCAAGTAGTCACTTGTGGCAGGTTGATTAAGAAATATACTCGACGTTAGATTTAATCAAGATTTGAATAATGGAGTTAGAATTGACTGTCACTCCTCTGATCTGGTTATTTTTAGATCAGGATCACTATGTGCCACTCCCCGGGTCGTCTATACCATCGCTCTGAAGGCAGCCTGCTCCAAGTGCTGTTTGACAGAGTGGGTTTTCTCCAGTTCTGTACTTGCCGCTTCATCGCTTAACACATCCTTTCTGAAACGTGCCAAAACTTGGCATTCCAGAGCAAAGGAATTCCAGGGTTGCTACCCAAAATACAGCTCAGATGGAACGGGATCACAGAGTGGTTTGGGTTGAAGGGGCCTTAGAGCTCATCCAGCTCCAAGCTCTGCCACGGGCAGGGACACCTTCCACTAGAGCAGGTTGCTCCAAGGGTCTGTGTCCAGCCTGGCCTTGAACAGTGGCCAGGGATGGGGCAGCCACAGCTTCTCTGGGCAATGTACAGATAGATATATAGATATACGGATGCATCATGGTGCTGTGGATGGTGGGACTTCAGCTCCTTCCCTATTCAAGAAACGTTTGGTGAAACACTAAATATTTCATCCCCTTTTAGCTCTGGGAGGAAAAAGGCAGAGGTAGGAAATACCTTCAGGATGTGGGTAAGATGGGCCTAAGCAGGCATTTAGCTATTGCAGGGTTGGAAAGTCTGTGCTCACAGTGGGGTATTGCAGTCCAGGACTGTGCTGCTGTCCTCACAGCATGGGAATTGTGCTGGCCAGATGCTTACCCAAGCTCCCTGAGCTTCGGCATTCCACTTGGGCACTGCCCCTGCTCCATCCGTATCCTGGTGTGAGGTCCTGAGCCTTTTACGCACAGCGGCTCCAGACGGGTGCCTCAGGGGGAATGGTGTTTGTGAGGAGGGAGCCCTCAGCTCTCACTGCAAGCCATCGCCTGCCTCTCCCCAAGGATGTGTGTTGTGACTGCTGTTGGCTGCAGTTTCCTCTTGCCTAAAGGTGAGAACTAAACTGTTTCTTTGCAGTAGCTTCCTACTGTCAGCTCAGGAAAACAGTAAGTTTTGTCTGGATTAAAGCCTAAAGAGTAGTTATGGACCAGGAGGGGTTTGTGGAACCTCCTGGTCACTGCTTTTCAGGAGAAGCCTGACTGCAGAGGGGTCCAGTGGAGGAAAGTGGGGTTTGTTTGCATGGGAGGTGAGTGAGTCTGGATTATTTGAAAGGAGCTTCCGCCTTTGTTGGCCTGCCCTGGCTGCAGAGATTTGCTGCATTCCACTTCAGAATGGGGAAATTGCAGCAAAATATTCTTGCCAACGATGGAAAGAGATTGCCTCCAAGTAGAAATGAGCCATACACGTGCTGGGCAAGTGCTCCACGATGTCAGCTTGGTTGTGCCTGGTAATAGCATCAACTTCTCCTTGGAAACCTTTGGTGGCAGCGTGGGCAGAAGAAGGCTGAAGCTCGTGTGAAGTTCATCTCATGGTGCCTTCAAGCAAGGAACTGTTTAACCGCAGGGTGGAGTTGGGACTTCCTTGTGTGTTATTCCCAGGCAGGGCTTGTCTTTGCTACGTCAGGATGGCCGCTCACAGGTTTTGGTTTCTGGGCTCTTGTGCAGCATAACCACAATGTGGGAGCGGGTGCTGTGTGAAACTGCCCTTGAGAGGGAGTCCACAGGAGAGGCCGCACACACCGCATGTGAGGCTAAGAAGTAGGTAGGATCTGAGAGCTGGCCATCACTTCCCTCTTCTTGGGAACAGCAAGGTTCTTGTGGTCATTTTACATGATCCAGGGAACAGGATGGTGCTTGAAGATCATCCCAATCTCGGAACTGACTCAGGCAGCTGCAGAACGGGGCTGATGTGAAACCAGTGAACTGATGACAGTCTCCATACTGAAAGTGTGCCTCGTCCCCTCTGCAGCTTACAGCTCAGTGAAAACACAGGACATAAACCCAGGAAGCCTTCACCCACTGTGCTTTGAAGAGGCTCGTTCTGTTGATGTGTTTTCAGTCGTGTTGCTTGTCCCTTAAAGCCTTTTACACGCTTGGGTGTCGAGGCTGCGGTGTTTGCACTGGAAGCAGCAGAGAGGCCAGCAGTGAGGCTTAGATCTACCTGCTCTATGGCAGCTGCACTTGGAGCTTGTTTACTGGCCTTAAAGCACTTAGTGAGGGTCTTTGTCTGCCTTTCCTTAGGCCTTAATTTTTTTCCCACATGAATATTGAGGTATAAGCAGCATCATGTAGCTCTTGGGTATGTTGTGCTTGATTATGGGAGAACGTGTGCCTTTCTTATGTCTTCAGTTGTTTTATTGACTAACTTCTATCATAGAGTGTTTGATTCCTGAATGCTGGTGTTTCAGAAGTGCATCTCCAACGTGTTATTGGGAGTGCACAAAGCAGAATTAAGCAGAACAAGTATTTCCATCTCTATTTACCTGCTGAATGTACTTTCACACAGGTGTTATTGACGTCCTCATGTCTCCGGTGGTGACACCAAAGCTTTGGAGTAAAAACTTTCTATTTGAGTTGCTGCTCAATGCATGCTGCACTCGGGAACAGAGATAAATCAGCTGTACCCTGCTATGATTTGTTCTTACTCATCAGCGCAGCAGCCTTTGACTTGCACTTAAGAAGGTGGAAGAGAATTTCCCATCTGTATTTGTAGTCCCAGAGTTGCAAATGGGAGCCCGAGGCATTGCCAGTGAGAAATAAGCATTTCATGGACTATGTTTCTTTTTCTCCTCTATTTCCATGGTTCTTCAGACCTTGGTTTCAAGCTCATGGATGGTACAAGCAGATGCTTGAGTTCCAGGTGCACAAAGAATCACCTGTATTTATGCCGATTAACTTTCTTTAGTTGCTCTTTCTGGTTGTTTTGGCTCTTTCTCCCCTTTGAGGGTGTTTTGGTAAT